CGAGCTCGATGGGCCGAATGGCCTCCTCTCGTTTGTATATTTCTTATGTTCTTATGTTCTTATACTCCCTATCTGTTTGGGTCTCTTCCTGTGTTTGGGTGTAGACCCCCTATAATCCCTATCTGGGTCTATACCCTCTACTCTCCCTGTGTTTAGGTGTAGACCACCTATACTCCCTATCTGTTTGAGTTTATACCCTCTACTCTCCCTGTATTTGGGTGTAGACCTCTTATTCTCCCTGTCTGTTTGGGTCTATATCCACTTGTTTTTGTCCTTGGGGGACCAGACAGGGTCACAGTGACGGTCCTGTCAGCAGATACCCCCTGTGTTGAGACTTTATAAATAGGATCTTGTTGACCTCACCAGAATGCAGATGGCTTAAAGTAGCAGTGCTGCTGGTTGTTGTTGCAGAGCTACACTGACATCGTGTGACCAAACCGTAGCATGACACATTTGCAAAGAACCATGCTGTGAGTATGTAAGAGGTTGTATTTATAAATGTGTATCTTGGCACATGTGTGAACTTGCATCAGTGTGAACTTACATGTTAATGTGTATTGGTATGAGTGTGTATTAGTGTGTATGTGTGACTATATTGGTCAGTGTGTGTGGCTGTGTATCAGTCAGTGTATGTTACTGTGTGTAGGAAGCACTGACACACTGTACCCACCGCCTACTCCTTAGTCACCCATCTCAACTCGCTCTTGACATTCTGGATCTCAGACAGGTTCACTGCTGGTCCAGGCAGCTTGAAAGCTCCAGGAAGATGCTTCTTCTCCTCACTGGCCACAGGTGTCACCTGGGGGTGTGGCAGGGGTAGGGTAGTGGGGTGGGGGCATGGTTTGATCCTGCCTCGGGGAGTTATGGACACAGATGTGTGTGCGGGCACCTGTGTGAGTCCTCACCTCCTCCAGGTCTTCAGACTCCTCTCTCCTCTTGATTGGGTGTCCTGCTCCAGGTCGCAGCGCTCCCATGGGGATGTTGAGATTAGCCTGTGGAGAAACACGCCCATGTGATGAGGCCCCGTCTCCACTGCCACCCCAGCCGGGTGCCCATCCCTAACAGAAGTCTAGCATCTCCATCACTCTGCTCACCAGTGCCACCATGTGGACAGTTCCGCAAGGTGCAGAGGGAGCGGGGTCCTGCTATGAATTACCCAATCACTCTGTGGAGGTCATGGGTGTTTGAGGCGGTCAGTCCTATAGCAAGGAACAGGTCTCCCACCCCCCCCCCCCCCCCCACCTGAAGAGACCTTGTCACAGAAATGCTCAGCATTGGCTTGTCTTGATCAATTGCTTTCTGGGGAATTATAAGTAGATTCCTTCCCGTAAAATGGACGGTAACACGCTTGCCTGTTGACTAGGAATATCTCTCCAAAGCTGCTGACCGCAGAGCATCCAGCTTCTGCCTGGGCATGTAAATGTGTTACCATCCCCCAGAGATAGAAATCTGTGTGTGCTTGTGTGGTCACAGGGCATGCAGTGTGGAGGAGGCTGTACTAATGTGTGTATTGTGTGTGTGTGTGTGTGTGTGTGTGGGTTATGTATATATTACATTGTGGGGACCAAATGTGGGGAGCATTATTTCTGTCCCCAAACTGCAATTAAAAACTAAAAATGTCAAAAATGTTGTATTATGGTTAAGGGCTGGGTAGCGGTTAAGGTTGTCATTGTTGGGATTAGGGTTATGCCCATTGAAATGAATGGACAGTCCCCACAAAGATATGAATACAAACGTGTGTGTGTGTCTCTGTGTCTGTGTGTGTGTGTAGATCAGGGGTCTCCAACTCCGGTCCTGGAGAGCTACTATCCAGTTGGTTTTCTGTCCCACTTGGCTTCTGATGAAAAACACCTGTTCCTGGTATTTACCTGAGAACAGGTGTGGCTCATCAGCAGTTGGGTATGATAGAAAACCTACTGGACTGTAGCTCCCCAGGACCAGAGTTGGAGACCCCTGGTGTAGATTATGTTTTTATTATATTGTGAGGGAGCAAATGTCCCTTACAATGTAATAAAAACCTGTTATTTTGATGTGGTGGGGACAATTTTTCAGGTCTGTGAATGCAACCAAAAAACTAAACACACAAGGATAAAATTGCAAACATCTGTGTGTGTGTGTGTGTGTGTGTGTGTGTTTGTATCCCTTCTCTGTGACAGTCGTGTCAGGTATCAGGTCATTTCCACCAGCCTGTTAGTCACTCAGTATTTTTGGCTTCTGTTTTTCTCACGCCTTGCATAGTAAGTTACTTGAAGCCACTACACATCAACACATTGACCAGGGGCTATTTCTGTTTGCAGAGTGCCTTAACAAAATTTCAGGAATGTTTTACTAATAGACCTTTAACATTTGTTCCATGAGCCATGAGCACCTGCGTGATACTCTGAACCAAGCGCGATGCAAAGCCAGAGAGCGGAAGGCCTGAAACATGAGTCTGAAGGCACCTGGCAGTGACATACATGCTCACAGACAGCCACAGACAGCCAGAGTCTCTCTCACACAGCCCCAAACGCCACATGAGCTCACAAACCCGCTGAAACACAAAGTTACTGAGCATCTCTACCCTACCTGAAGAGCCTTCACGTTGGACGACGGCTGCTTGGACATCTTGTATGCGAGATACTTTATCCTGCAGGCACAGACACAGAGAGAGGTGAGAAAGCAGCCAGCCTCTTTGTGTCTATGGGGGGTTGGATGACTTTCAGGAATCGAAGATAGTCTTTCAGTTGCTTAGTGACCCCAAGCAGCAGGACAGTTATAGCATTCGATAATACTGAATCATTTATGAGCAGGTATACAGGTAACAGGTGTACAGGTGCTGTATGTTAGGTACAGGCACCACGTGTACAGATAACAGGGGTACAGATGCTGTATGTGAATGTACAGGTAACAGGTGTATAGGAGCTGTATGTAAACATACAAGTGACAGGTGTACAGGAGCTGTATGTAAAAATACAGGTAACAGGTGTATAGGTGCTGAATGTGAAGGTACAGGTAAGAAGTGTACAGGGCCTGTATGTGAATGTACAGGTAACAGGTGTACTGGTGCTGCATGTGAACATGCAGGTAACCGGTGTACAGATTCTGTATGTTACATACAGGCACCAGGTGTACAGGTAACAGATGTACAGGTGCTGTATGTGAACATCCAGGTAACACGTGTTCAGGTGCTGTATGTGAATGTACAGGTAACAGGTGTACAGGTAACAGATTTTGCAGGTACTTTACATGAATGTACAGGTGACGGGTGTATAGGTGCTGTGTATGAAGTTGAGGTATCCAAATAAGCAGAGATTATAACTTTAATATCTAAGCAGTTTAAACGAATTGGGTGTGCTTAGCCTTTACAGATGATATCTTAGACATTGTTTCCAACACCTTACACAAACCATTTACATGTGCGTCTTTTTTCCTGTTCCGGCAAGAGTAAACAAGTCATTTGTATAGAGAGTTACATGTCAGAATAACCCTGTGGCTGGGGTTGGTGGTTATAGGGTGGGTGTGGCATTCCACAATAGCAGCCAAACACTTAACAAATAACTTAGTGTTCCCAGGTCTGACTGATCCCACTACCAGTTTGCATCTCACACCACAATGTAAATTTGGTCCAGCATTGCGCCAGTGGCTGTCTGCTGCCTTTCTGTTCCTGGACTCTGAAAGGGCAGCAAGACAGAGGCAGTTCGAGAACACAGGGGATATTTATAGACAGGAGAGTGCAAAGAGATAAACAGGCACTGGAAGACAGAGAGAGTGCTTCTGAGAGTGACTACAGGGATGGAAAGTACGCACTCCTTAGTAACAGTTACTGTGGTACTGTTTACATATCAACAATAAGCATGACTTTAGCAAACTCTACAACAGAGAGGGAGACCATCCTGTAGCACAGCTAAACTCGCCCGGGAGAGACCTTCCTGTACCACAGCCATACCGACCTGGGAGAAACCTTCCTGTAGCACAGCCATACCGACCTGGGAGAGACCTTCCTGTAGCACAGTCATTCTGACCTGGGAGAGACCGTCCTGTAGCACAGCCATACCGACCCCAGAGAGACCGTCCTGTGGATGGCCTTCTATGACATTACAGCTCTCAGGCCTAGTGCTCTAACCACTAATCCACAAATTTAAAATCACACACTGAAATGTTTGTCTTTTTGTAAAAAAATCCACATAAACACACAGAGACTTATCCCACTATTCTGGGATAAGATTCCAATGGCTGATAGAAACAGGGAACATTTCAGCTGCAGTTTAGATGTTTCCAGAAGTTGTAGCCTAGAAAAAGTGGCACATCACTGAAGTCTCACCAGATTTGTGCTGCACGTAGTACGTTTCTGAAACTGCAGAGTATCAAACAAGCAGAAATGTAGGGCAGCGTGGAGGGTCCCCAGTCTCTCTGAGGCTGCTCTGTAAGCAGGTGCTCTCTGCCATGCAAACACAAATACGACAGCCCTGCTGCCCACCTACCTCTGCCAGCCCTGACACGACGTGACGGAGTTGCTGCGGTGATGTGGACAAGTGGAGCGGCGGAAGTGGTAGCACACCGGGCTTGTGTCAATGTTAGTGCTGTCCCACTGAGCTGTGGGCCCTGCTACTGCGGGGGAAGGGGGGTGGCTCTGTCACAGGGATTTCTCCCATAGCTGGCATTTGTTCTCCTTATAAATAGCCCAGAGACTGTGACTTCTCCATGCACACACACTACAGACACCGACACACGCTAACAGACACTAATAGACACAGACACACACCAACACCACATACACTAACATACACAGACTAGGTTTCTATATATCTAGAGGACTTTTTTTGTTTTTTAATTGCAGTCACAGATTTTTATAAAATTGAGTTTCCCCTTGTGGGGACAAAAAATTTCCCCACAAGGTCATAACAACAGGTTTTTATTACATCGTGGGGACATTTGGTTCCTACAATATTATACATACATGACCACAGACACACACATACATATATTCATATCTTTGTGGGGACTGTCTGTCCATTTCTATGGGTATAACCCTAATCCTAACAATAACAACCTTGACCACTACCCAGCCCTAACCGTAACCTTAAGTAATCAATCAAAAACAAGTCTTTTGGCACTTGTAATACTTACAAAACCACAGACACACACTCACAAACACCCACTAATATACATCCTCTAAAACACAAACTTCATATATTCCTGCCATTATGGGGACTCTCCATTCATTTGTATGGGCATAACCCTAAGTCTAACTAAGATAACCTTAACCCCTACCCAGCCATAACCTTAACCATAAGTATCCAAACAAAATAAAATAAATCTGGCTGTTTTAGTTTTTAATTGTACACACACACACAGACAGACACACACAGACATACACAGACATACACACACAGACATACACACACAGACACCCCTGAGCAGCAGCTTTACCAGCCAGTCAGTGTCTCATCCCAGCTTATGCTTCCATCTGCAGCTCTGTCAGTGAGTCCAGCTGCCCATCAAACACAGAACCATCAGAATGGTCACACTGACCCCACAGCTCTCACTACTGAGAGTAGGTGGTGTTCACAGAATGAGATGTGCTCTTGGAAAAGAACTCACAGACCAAAACAACGCTCACAGACCAGGACAGGACAATACTCACAGAGCAAGACAGAGATGGTGCTCACAGACCAGGTCAATGCTTACAGACTGTGGAGATGCTCACAAACCAGGACAGGTTGACACTTATAGAGCGAGATGAAGATCATTCTCACAGGCCATGCTGATGCTCACAGACCAAGATGAAGATAGCGCACTCAGACCAGGACGACGCTCACAGAGCGAGATGGAGATGGTGCCTTCAAACCAGGATGACACTCATAGAAGCGAGATGAAGATTGTTCTCACAGACCAGGATGATGCTCACAGAGTGAGATGGAGATGGTGCTCTCAGACAGGCAAAGGCCTGCACACTTTGACACCCATAGCTTACTCTTACCTGTTTCTATGGCTCGACGCCGCCGGGGCGTGCCACACCCTGCCTACTCTTTGCCGGGTCTTCTCTCCCTTACCAGCACTTGTTATTAAAAATGTGACCCAGTTGAGCGGCTACTGGTGGGAGCCGAGGGACCAAGCCTCCACAGCTCCTCTGTCTGATTGGATCTTCGCTTGACACGACATCCCATCCTGGCAGACACTGATCCACCAAGTGGGGCATCTGAGCGTGAGGGTGGTGATCAAACTGATGCCTAGTGGACTGAACGTGCGGGACTACACCCCCCCCCCCCCCCACACACACACACACACACATTGAACACAGCACAGTGGTTCTGAATGCCTGACTGGCCCTTTTAACTATTCACCAGCAGATGGCAACACTGATCTGATCCCAGTGCAGACTTACCCTGATGGCTCTCGATCCCAGTGAAGGGTGGTCACTGCTGGTGCCGGGGCTTTCTGCCGGGGCCGTGTGGCATTAGTGACCTTGTCGTTTCAGGGCTCTGTGGCAGCACTGGTCCAACTGGTCCAACGGCAGGCCATGGGCCACTAATATAGTATGCAAATCCACCCCACCCACCATCTGGCCCCACCCCTGATGATCCTTCAAGCAGGAAATGTGTCAGCTTTTCCAGGTACAGCTAGGTCCCCCCGTCCAGCCGCACCTTTCTATCTTTACTGCTCCAGGGTCAGCCAGGGCCCCTGGCCAAAGCAGACAAGCCTAGGGCCATGGAAGTGATGCTGATGCTGGTAGCAGTGGGCCCTCACAGTCTTTGCTTACAGTTTCACATAAAAGTCCCTCCGTGCCCCAGTTTAACCTTCCTCTGCCTGCAGCAGCTGTAAGTGAGATTAAATTTTTAGGGGTAAGAATGGGGCCATTTGGAGAACATTCAGTTATACAGAAGCTTGTAAGAAGACAAAAAATTAGAGTGGTCAATAATCATTTATCACAATCGGTTTTGGACTGCCCCATCCTGGGTTGTTCTCTGCCTTGCATCTGTAGCCTCTGGGTGATACAGTACAGTGGATCAGCACACAAAGTTATAACATAAAAAGATCAATAAAAAGGAACAATGAAGAATTATGCAGGGAGTTAAGTTACAAAAGCAATAAATTAAATTCTTTAATTACAAATATTACATTTGTTGAATATTACATTTATGGCTATAGAATTATTAAAGCAGAATATATAGTATGGTTTTGTTTTAGTTGGTTTATAAAAGTGATAAACATACATGTTCTATTGCAATATTTGCTTTTATGTGTGTGAAATTTTGCTAAAACGATATTTTCAAAACGAGATATTGGATGACGCAATATTTTAATTGTTTATATCGATTTATCATGCGTTAAAAATTGGGCTCTGTTAATTACAAATTTTGAATATAGACCAAAAGTACTCCTTCCTGGTTCAAAACAACGCGAAAGCTTCGGTCGTGATCTTGCATTGAATCCCAGAATCACAGCTACAATCACACCAGCTCCTGTTAGTAACTTAGTTGTATTCAGTTGCATGGTTCCAACTACGTTAGCAACTACACTTTTGAGAAACGACCTCACGGGGAAATTGGTGGAGAGGATAAATAGTAATAATTGTTATATCTCACGTGTAGTGAGATGTTTTTTTTTTCGTTTTATTTATTTGTTTTACCTAACTATGACTACGTTTACATGCGATAACCCGATTAAAATGCTTACATGTGTTTTAATGACCTGATTACAGTGTGGAACTGCGGTCAAGCTATCCGCGCTTCGCCGAAACACGGTCAAATCGTCCGCGCTTAAAATGTGAGGTGCATGCATAGACATGACATTACGGTATCAGCCGTACATTACGGTTTAGGTAAATAACAGACTCCAAGCGATCGCCATCACATTTTAAGCGCGGATGATTTGACCGTGTTTCGGCGAAGCGCGGATAGCTTGACCGCAGTTATGTACACGCAGTAATCGTGTCATTAAAAACACATGTAAACATCTTAATCGGGTTATTGCATGTAAACTTAGTCATAGTCAGCTACATGCTATGTCAAGCCAAATATAATCTTTTAATAGTATAAAGCTTAGTCGGCATATTTATGGCAAGCTAAATGGTCGTTTATTAGTATAAGGTGTACTCGTCATAACTTAGTTCTTTTAATTACATTTTTACTAGTAAAACCTCAATTATGGATATGTGGGCCTGGGATTCTTACGAATCAAAATGTATTTGTGTGCAGGCTTCCATTAAATCCGCGTTGAAGCGAAGTGCGACCTCTTTTTGTTTACTAGGTCGATTACGATATTGTGGTCCAGCACTCTGACAACTGCAGAACTAGGAGTGAAGCCCGTTCTTCTGTGCCAAATCGATGCATTGTGAATTTTGCGACAGCAGCCCTGAAACTATTCATCATTTATTTTTGTTATGTCCTACAGCAAAATCCGTCTGGTTTGATGTGCAAACCCATATTAAAACACATACCAATTATGATGTTAAAGAAGTAGATGTAATTTTTAACCAAATTAAAATTATTATTTGTAATTAACTAAATTATTGTATTATGTGCTTATATACATAAAGTAAAATGGTTTGGAGCAGAGCATGTGAGCGGAGCGGGCGGAATTTGGTCAGAGCGCGGAGCGGGTTTTCTAATTAAGGCTGGAGCGGTCGCTTTGTCTCGCTCCAATTTCGCTCCAATACCGCTCACACTACAATTCTGAGGCGTGCCCAAATCTACCCAGAATTCATCTCTACAATTATCAAGACTGTTTCACAAATTGGCCGAAATGGAATTCGCAAAGTATTTCACAAAGGAAACTGATAAATC